ATTATTTAAATCTTCTCCGGCTCCCCCTCTCTCTCTCTCTCTCTCTCTCTCTCTCTCTCTCTTCTTAACTCCATCACGCTAAAAAGAGAAAATTACCCTTCAGTTGAATTTTCTCGATTTTTAATCTATACGGTTTTATAATACTTTTCTTACGTTGCAGTTTAATACAGGCAAGATCAAAACGGATTGCCTCGACTTTACGCAACTATCCTGCAATTTATTCACCGTCTCATAATGTCCCTGAAGTTGTGTCTTTTTTATGTCTTGCAATACATTTTGCCGGCGCCTCTGCATTTCGGACAAGTGAATCAAATGATAACGGAAGATCGATTTCTGTGTTGCCGTTCGAGTTCAACTTCGGTTCAGCTTGATGAGCTCTGCCTGCACACGCACGTTGCTACACTTAATTCCCGACGCCTCGTAGACACTCGAATCGATTTACGCAATTCTGAATGCTCGTACCTTCGGCCTTTCGCGACGTGCCGAGTGACGAAGCGCAATTTCTTATCGATAAGATATTACAATAGGGACGTATTTATTTGGAAGTATCTTATCTTCTATCTTTGTCATCGTTAGCTTTTTCATCGCACAGTAAACAGTACGACCGCGCTTGAAATTACTCTGTTCGCAAGGGATTGCAAAACACATCACTGCATCTGACATTTATGAATGTTTCCGTCCCACACGTTTAGTAACTATTATCGAGATTATAGAAATGGTGATCATCCGCGGAAAGTGAAGAGATTTGAGTGAATTTGAGGAAGAGACACTTGTCACCGTTTTTTTCACGCACGACTCCAGTCGCAGATATATCGTCGCGCGGAGCGGATGAATCGTGAGAAATGAAAAACACAGCGAGATGCGAGATTCCTCGTGAATACCAAGCTCAGTCGATGGATTATTCAAGTTCGGAGCAGACTGACTAGGAGAAGGCTGGGGTCTTACTCGTGACAGAAATATTCGAAGCACACGGGTGCATTTCACGCCTAATTTCTCGCGAATTTCTCCGTTCGAATATTCTTCTTTCTTTTTCTCATGCGGGCCACGTGTCATTTATATCGTAGGGAAATTCCATCGCTTGTAAATGGCTTTCATTTCACCATCGGTTTGCCTCGACACTTGCAAATATCTCTTTTTGTTACTCATTTTGCTCACAAAACAGAATCCGTCCGTTATTTGAAAATCTGATCAAATAAAAATCTATAATTCTTGGAATATTATGCACCATTTTGCAGGATCTCATGTCGTCATGCGGACGGCTTGCAAATTCTATTGCGACAGAAACTCGTGGATTGCGAGAAATTGCTTAATTTGTTTTCGATTGTTCTCTCCTTGGAAGTACGCGCCGGCTAAATAATAAAAAGAACCTGTAAACGTTTCAAAGCGGAAGAAAAGTGAAAGCGCAGATATTAAAATTGAATGCGAATTTTTTCCTAATGTTGGCTACGTTATTCTCAAGTCTCACACACAGTGCGCACAATAAAGGACGAAATAATTGAAAATCCGACGAAACTATCGCACACGGCGCGGCGCAGCCAAAAACGCTTGAGGAGTTTCCTACTGTCTCCCACTGTTGTCGTAAAAATTTCAGCGCCGCTGTATTATCGCGGGGACGATAAAACAGATCTGCCTGCTTAGTATCCAACCACGAGTTACGATTAAAAGATCGGCACGAGCGTACCGCCCAGACCGTGTTCCGAATTCTCAGCTTCTGCCAAGGCTTCCATAAGATGCTACGGTAATCTTGGGGGGGATCCGGCGGATCTAACACAACTCGAGAGGGCTAACCATCAGGATACATCTGGATACCCGATGGGATGCAATGCTCCTAAAGTTTTCCTCGGATTTACTTGGCTTGGCGTAAATATCGTCGCAAACAAATCTTACGTAAGCTAATTAGGAATTGAACGCTCGCATCGTATCGCGTAATACTGAATGCAATCGGAAGACCTCTCATGACCTGAAATAAACCTGAACGTAATGACAGCGAGCGTGTTATCCTTGGTTGTTTCTTAATACAAATGCAGAAAGAACGGTAAATCTGTATAATACGTGTGTGCATGTGATGAGCACGTTCAAAATTTGCTTTAATTCACGTTAGTCGAATTTTAAATTCAACTTTTTAAAATTCGCTTTAATTGTCTGTGTAACTTAACTTTAAATTCAGCTTGCACGGATTATTTCAATTCATTTTGAAATATCAACTCAGACGAGGGGCTTCCCGGCTGAAATAGAAAAAGTCTCGCATCCCTCTCTCTCTCTCTCTCTCTCTCTCTCTCTCTCTCGTAAAACTATATCCTCGAATATCACAATATCTTCAGTCGCGTGGCAGGGGTTGAATGGTGGATCGTTTAAAATTACTTTGAAACGTAACGAGATACGCACCGCGCGCGAGGTAGGTATTAGATATCCGAGAAAGAAAAGCGGTTATAGATATGAAGAGTTTTCCGGGGATTTGTAGCCATCTATACAGCGTCTGTATTACACCGGACAGAGGGGATACATTTCGCGGCACATTGAACGCGTAGACTTTAAAATACCCTCGAAATCGAAGGCGGTCCGTGCATTTAAGAAAAATCCGTTTTATAACATGAATAGAGCGCTGCTCCTCCTGTGTGTGTGTGTGTGTGTGCGTATATATATTAACAAATATTCGACACGCGTGAAAACATTATTTATATATACGCATACAGTGACCGATTTTAAACACTCCGGAGGAAACATATTATTCGAAAATAAAAAAGTTTCAGACCAAGGTTGCTCACTTCATACACTCTTCATTCTCTTTCTGAAATTGATTTTCCGCTATGAGTCGTTTCCTGGCCGGCCGGTATCGCAATTTGTTACTAAACGCACGTCTCGGTTATTATTCCTTTCGACACGGTATTGTCTCTACTCGTACATAATCGAGTGTGTTATATATCGAAAAGCGCGGCGGTTCGGCGATACGACGAGCGAAAGAAGGAAAAAGTACATAGAAGGAAAGAGGGTGGATACATAGACCGCGGGGACATATATAGGGGCTCGTGCACGCGGGGAGACTTTATGGAGACCCCCGAGTATATTTCCTGATTGAGCGAACTAATCCACGCAAAGGAGGTTTTATCGTCGAGGTATACAGAATCGAAGGGTTCCTGTCGCATCGCGGATGTCGCATCCAGCGGGTGGGCTCGATTAAAACGCGTGCCAGTGGAGCGCATTTCTTCTCGGAGTCTCACCATGTGTCCGAGGACGTCGGCACTCATGCGATGTACCAATTTTCAGAAGTCGTCCTGTTTGACGTGCTCGAATTTCAGGAACTCGGGCAATACCGAAGGTCTTAGAACTGACTAATTTTGCACTTATCTGATCACACGTGTTTTCAAGTTCTCGAGTTCCCGGATATTCAGATACCCGAAATTTCGGGTATAATTTCTCGAAGGACTTCGGGGGACTTTGGAGCCTGAAGAATAATTTATAGCTGCTAATTTCATGCGGTCCATCTTCAGGATGCGAGTAATCAAACAGAATACGGAGGGAGACAAATTTGTAGCGCGTATATAGCCGGCGCCGGGAAGCTCTGTGTGAATCCTGAGAGAATCCTGCATCGACGACGCGATGAGTCCTTCGCGGCGGTGTCCAGGAATAGCCACACTGCAGGAGCAGCGAAGGTGCTATTGTTTCGCAGCGCTTAGCGGCCGCTCCTTGTCTTTAAACAGATTAAAACACGGTCAATGAAATTAAGGACCCGTGTCATTCGACTTTATTCTTATTATTTTTCTCCTTTATTCAGCTTTATTATTTTTCTCCTTAGTCTTTCATAGGTCGAGTTCTCAGTCGTCAGTCTGCATATAAAGATACCGAAAATCATCGAGAATGGAACACTCCCCGAGATATATTTTATGCTTTATCCTGAATCCTGATACTTTCCGGTGTAACATTTGCAGGCATTTGCCAGAGTATATTTTTTATTTACATTACATTTATATTACATTTTTTATAATATGTACAGGGTGAACGACTATGAATAACCACTTTGAATATCCTCGAAATAGCATGAGAGCGGGAGAAGAAATCATCCAGCGCGAATATCCTGGCGCAGAAATAAACATCTTACTGCGGTAACTCTTCCTTTCGGTTCTTCTCTTAGATGAGGTACGCAAGGTAGTGATATAGTCCTCGCCTCGTCCTGTGCAACAGACGCGGCTCCGCTCGTCATAAGAGAAGTGGGCCATCGTGCCGCGGAGGATAAATAACGAGCGCACAGGGAGACGCGTGCTGACATGAAAATATCGGATCGACTCGTGCCGTTCGTTCCGCGCGAGGTCGTCCGGCGATTTTTCCTCGCGAAACCGCGATCTTCGCCACGCACGCGCGTCGCTTCCTTTCACAACTTGACTGCCTGTTCCCATCACAGCCGATTCGAGATGAAGTCGCCACTCGATCCAGCGCCGGTCTAAAGAGTACCGAGAGAGAGAGAGAGAGAGAGAGAGAGAGAGAGAGAGAGACAGAGAGAGAGAGAGAGAGAGAGAGAGAGAGAGAGAGAGAGAGAGAGAGAGAGAGAGAGAGAGAGAGAGAGAGAGAGAGACAGACAGAGACAGAGACAGAGAGACAGAGAGACAGAGAGACAGAGACAGAGACAGAGAGAGAGAGAGAGAGAGAGAGACAGAGACAGAGACAGAGACAGAGAGAGAGAGAGAGAGGGTGACACCGCGATCGAGGACGAAATATCGAGGCGAAAATGTGTTACGTTCCGAGAGAGAGAGAGAGAGAGAGAGAGAGAGAGAGAGAGAGAGAGAGAGAGAGAGAGAGTGAGAGTGAGAGAGAGAGAGCGAGAGAGAGAGCGAGAGAGAGAGAGAGAGAGAGAGAGAGAGAGAGAGAGAGAGAGAGAGAGAGAGAGAGAGAGAGAGAGAGACAGAGAGAGAGAGAGAGAGAGAGAGAGAGAGAGAGAGAGAGAGAGAGAGAGAGAGAGAGAGAGAGAGAGAGAGAGAGAGAAAGAGAGAGAGAGAGAGAGTCCACGAGTAGCAGGACTCCACGGCCTGGTCGGCCGGGAGTGACTCCGCTCATGCGGATATTAAACTTTGAAGATGCCGCTCACCGCCTCATCGCCCGCGTTCTCTCTGCCTGACGCCTGACTCAGCGAGTATCATTAATAACATCGAGGAGGCAGATAAAGTGTTAAACACTCCAGGCCCGCTGCTCTGGCACACGTCATTACCTTGGCTAACCGTACTAACTGAAGACTCTGGAAAAGTCCGCCTAACACGCCGGTCCGCATAACCGTATAACGTGCAACAACCCCCAAGCATTGCATCGCTGCACGGCGTTACTTCTGCCTTGTGTGTAACGCTTGTATTCCGTGTCTGCTGAGTGCGCGAGATGTATCCCGCGCGATTCGCGTCTATTATTTGCACAGCGTTATTCCTTCGTGGGAATTTTCGTCGATTTTTGATCCTCCGCGAGCTTCCTCGAGGAGGGTCGTTATTTTGGTCGCTACTGATTAGGGACGATAATTGAGAAAGAGAGAGAGAGAGAAAGAGAGACGATGTGGTTTTCCTTAAAGTAGTCGTGTTCAACCGTCGTTCGATGGCACTGTACATCTTCCTGGGCATTTGTTCTTATGTTGTGTTATCGTGCATTATTGTGTTTCGTGGAATTGTTGAAGTACGCATCGGTGATTACGCGTATGACGAAGAAGTACAGAAACTCGAAGATAGACATGAGGCTGAACCCGGCAAACAGTCCAAGTAAACCGCCAAATGACGCTGAAAATATTGACGAGCATTATTTTTGCGCGAGCTTCCGCGCGATTGCGCTTAACTTACCGAACAAATTGCGCCAACTGTAATTGACCGAACGCCGATATTGAAAGCCCACCAGGTCATTGAAGAATACGTGTAGCATACTGTGATTTCGTAAGCTCGTGGTGTTGCTGTAAAAACACAGCGCAACGTTATGCAGGATTTTTCAGAGAGATAAGATGCCTTGATGAAAACATATCGCTGAGAATGCAACGAATTTCCCGATGATGTGACGAAAACCGATGGTGTGACGAAAGAATGCATGCTCGAGTGCGATCGAACGAGAATTTTCGTAATTTCGTAGTACAACGAAAAACAAACACACGGTGAATTCCCACCGTGAAAATTGCGAGATACTTTCGAAGGGAGATGTAAGATTTAAGTGATTTTTATGTACGAGTTTAAAGTACGGCTGATCGAGTAAGAATCTGTGTCGCGATGAGAACTGATGAGAGCTGCGATCGTGAGGAAGTGCGCAACAACTTGGTGCTCTGCATATGTGTGGTATTCATTTACTGAGGATTCTTCGAGAAGCCGCCATTTTTGTAGTAAACAGACGGGTCGAGCTTTCCGAAAGAGTACTCTATGGGATAATGATACAGAGAGCAGTCCGGTATGCATCCGCACGGTCTCCTTCCGACATCACTGATCGTTCTCGGCAGATTTTTCTGAGCAGTAAGGTTTATTCCTGGCCACGAAGTGTCGAATAGCGCTGCAAGAAGCAAGCACACGGAAAAATCAACAAGATATTCTTAACTTGTGCTGCAATTGAAAATAGTCGAACATGGTCGGCGACGTCTGAAACTCGACAGATTATTTGCATATTTTCTCCTTGCTGATCGCTGCACTAAAAACTACTGAACGCTAGTCAATGTTGGTTTTTTTTTTTTCCTTTTTCTTTTTTATGAAAAGCATGAAAGCGCACTTGCGTACTTACGCACTTACTCTGATATTCTTGCAAGCAGTGAATATCCCTGAGATTGCATATTCTGGTGCCTGGAGCGAGACAACGCATTCGATTTACTCCATTATTCCGTCACACAAATGTTAATACGTATAAGGAGGTCTGAAGACTTCGGGGTGGTCAGTTTTCCTTTCATCGAACCATTGACTGGCACAGAAGAGACTGTATTTTTTTCGTGTAAATTCTTTCTTCTCTCTGATGAGCGATAGCTTGAACGTCAACTGATCATCCCGGAGCTCACTCGTAGAGAACGCGAGTGTGTTATGCTTACTATTTTGTGGGAAGTAAAAGGGTACGCAGCCGCATTTCGCCCTCACCACAGTCGCTCGACATTCTGCGAGACAATTGTGATATGTGTACGTGGTGTAGGTTAAATTTCTCTCCTTACCATCCCTGAATAGGAGCTCGTCAGCTTCGTCGTTAAATATACACTTGCGCGTAGAAATGGCCAAGTTCCTCACTTCGGGCTTCGAGTACATCTCCGAGGGGTTGACGCTCACGAAATATTGGCTGTTGAGTTGTATCAGCTGGATTTCAGCATTAAAATCCGGATAATCGAATGAATAATGTATCATGACCTGCAATGTACAACACATATTTCTGTTACACTTGTAACCGAAAGAAAAATCGCAAAATTTGCGGCGCGAGTCGCTCGATTTGATTCGCAGATCGCTGCCGCGGCACTGAAGAATTTTACACATTTCATTAAAACGCAAATTTGCCGAGATATCAATTTTTACACTAAATCTATAAAACATGCTGACGCAATTGGCACGAGATATGTGACGTGTAAAATACTACAGATTTATCTTAAAATAATTAAAATTTATTGCCTTGATTAAATTAATACCTTAAAATAATTACTTAAAAATAATGTTTGTGAAAAGTATCTTTGTGTATATGTATACGGCATGTAAATAAATAATACGGAAAAAATTATGACCGATACAAGCAGCTTATAAATTCGATTGAATTACCTTCACTCCGAATGATCCGATGATCGAAGCATGATAATCATTAGGCTCACCGTTTATCAATATAGTCATACCGGTTTCGTATCCGCAGGAGGCAGATTTTTTGATTCTTCAATAACAAGAATCTATATTACTTGAAAAGTCTGACACGATGCAATTGCGTGATAAATGCCAGGGTCCAATTTTGAAGTTTGCAAGCCTTAAATATTTCTTTCAACGATATGCGCTAATTATTATTTTGCGTGAGGCCGAAAATCTTTCGGGCTCGCTGCGTAAAGCAAGAAGTATTTGTCATAATTTTCCATATCTGCACTGCTTCTCTGTTCAATCAACTTTTCCTGACAACTCAGAGCACATTTCGTCATACTTTTATTTTGGTAATTTTTCTCTTTTTCTTTGTAGATGTAGATTTTACGTTATATTGTAAATCTCGAGCGATAGAGGCTCACAAACTTCAATGCGAATTTATACTTGTCTGTAATTGTCCCCGGGGAAGTGTAATAATTGAAACTACAGCACAAGCCATCCCGCGATATACTTTGTCTGAAGTACTTGTCACACGGGCTTAACACGCCTTTCCACTTGCAAGTCACCAATAGAGAACTGCAATTTCCCGTTATCTAGAACAGAGGCCGCAAACGCTTGAGCCTTTGAGACAGTCGAGTTGAAACACAAAGCGCCAGCGCGATGCACCAAGCCTAATGACTTTTGTCCGAAACATTCTCTCGTAAAGTGAGAATTCATCGAAATAGTCGGAATGATAAGTTAAAGCGATTCATCCCGATGTATACCGATATCACATCCCAAAAATGTCCTTTCGAGAAAACTTGTTCAGCGGATTTTCAGCGGATATCTTCCAAACTATATGGCAAGTATATGAATCGAGGGACGTCCGTAGATCCGAAGCGTCAGAAGATCCGAAGCGTCAGAAGAATTAATAGCGATGAAACGTAATACGAATACTTGCCCGAATATTTAAATGACGTTCACGTCATGAACTGCAGAGATTTCCGCTACGTACCATTTTCATCACATCGAGAATCGATAAATCGTTGTGATCAATGATGTCCTGCAGGTAGGTGAGGTTTCTCCGAACATCGTATCCGAATACTCCCGGCACTACCAATTCGTTCAGCAGTCGCATTTCTTGGAGCAAAAATTGCTTTGAGACATTAGCTGGTATTTCCCTGCAAGAGAATCCAACTGAAGCTCCGATCGAAAGAAAGCAAATTCACCGTCCGAGACGTTGCGTTGCAGAGGGGCATGGAACTGGACGATTGAGCGTAAGAAAGGAAACACAAGAGAGATGATGAGGAATCAAACGTGAGGTCGTCGGCGCTCGAAACTTTTACGCTACCGAACGTATAATTTTCTTACCCGTCGATAAAGTATATGCGAAACACTCACAGATTGTCGACGAACTCTTTCGTCAGGTTGTAAGACATGCGATTGATATTGCACACTGTTATCGCGGGGAACGGATAATTCCATATCCCATGGTGCGTCGACTCGATGACCGTCAGTGTGGGGTGGGTCGCGTAATAATTCCAGGTCATTTTCATTAAGACAACGGCGCAGCACAGCGACGTAAACACCATCAGTGCCCAAACAATCCTAAATGCCGAATACATTCTCGATCGGTGCCGTCTCTCACCAGATCCGGCGAGAAAAACGAAACTGAGGTCCGTCCCGTATAATCAGAGGAACACTCTCGCGAGACTTTACGACGGCAAGGTTCACGATATTCTACTACATACTTCCATCTACTCTTGAAAATAAAACGGTATCCGCCTTAATCTTAATCTTTTTCTCTGACGCAGAAAGAAAAAAAATTGCTCGATTCGCGCAATTGATTCTCTGTTGTCCGGGGACTAGACGAGTCCTCTCCCTCCCTCCTCCCCCCCCTATTTGTTTTGCAAGAAACAGAAAAATTCCTGCAGGAGACTCCTGTTCGGTCAATTGTCCTTAGCTGTCTCAATTGAGTATTGACGCAGCCGAGTGCTCGGACGAATGTCTCTCGCGAATTCGTGATAGCGTCTTAAGCCTCATCTACAATGTGCTCTTTGCTTTCTGCTTCTTTCTCTTTACCTCTTTGTGACTTGAACCTTGTGTCTCTTGAACCTTATGTCTTAAGATAGAAGAGATAAAAAAATACAAGAAACAGGAAGCAGGAGCATGTTGCAGATCAGGCTTAAGAGTTTCCGTCTGGTCCCCATTGTATTACACGAATTGAGCTTCTTTTTCTGTATAGTTAAGTAGTAACGAGGCCTTTTTATAAAAGTGATCTCTAAACATTTCTTCTCCAAATTATTTCTAAATATATATGTGCGAGGACCTCTCTCTTCCGCGTCTGGAACGGACTGCAATTCCGAACGCAAAACGAACGATGCGCCGAGAGATATCGCAATAGTTTATATTATTATTTATATATTACGAGAGATTGAGACTGAAAAAGTCTGCACATACCGCTCAGTCTTGGAACGTTGAGTCTGACTGATGTATTTGTAACCGTGTAATCCAGTCTCGCGACAAAATTCGGCAGCTTGTTTCTTTAGGATACTCCACAATTTCGGCGGTTCTGCGGCCGCTGCTTTACTTCGAATTTGTGCCTTCGTCTTCCTCATCCTCGGCCGGGCGATTGATCGCTCAACTCACTCGTTTTTCCGACGAATTTCAGTTACGTTAAGTCGACGAATAGCTACAAGTCACGTTTCCGCTAATTGTGACGGGCACGTAGAAGCTGGAGAAAGCGGGAAAGCGGTGACGGTGACACCTTTCACGAGTACGTCAGAGCGTTAACTGTCGTGTTATCGGGACGAGGGTAAACAGGTAAAGGCACACATAATGCAGCATAGTACACACATGCGACATAGCATAAAAAATTCATTCGACCTTCTTCCGATGGGCACGCGAATTTCAGCTTTGTCGGTCACGATTTTATCCGCGCCCAGTTAATTATTAAACAATGTGAATATCGAAGTACAAGTAATGCCTTTATTACAGATTTCCGTGCCGCTTGTAATTACGTTCCCGAGCTTACGAATCGTAACGATCCGTACACATTAGGCGTAAAAAAAAAATATTTACTCGGTACAGGTAAGCGTTAACGTGATACACATGAAAGGAGTAAGTATACAGGGTGGGGCGTAATTCGCGCGCGCGCACAAGCGAAAGCGGACTGTGGGTCGTAAAGACTCATTTTATGCAAAAGTAGATCAGAGACGTGAAATAAAATTTTTCCCGGGAGCTTCCGTCCTCAAGAAAATCGATTTGAAATATTAAAAACTCAAACTTCAAAATTCGCCACCAAATACGCGTACAGCTAAATTAATATATAAATGTGTGTTGGTCCTTGTAGGCATGAATAGTGATGTATGATTTAAATAATATAACAAGTTATTTATTTAAAGTTATTTGTCTTCTATTACGAAAAATATTTCCCTGTTGTCGCATAGAGTATTTATTTACTGAGTAATTTGAAAGAGGCTTGTACGGATTCGAAAGCTTGTCTCCATGTTTTAACAGGTCTTGACAGATATATATCGTTTGAAACTGTTTCGTAACGTATTATTGTAACGCAAGTTGCCATTGTTGTTGCTTTGAAAAAGACAAAAAGATATTTACAATAAACAGAATATATTTATTTTTTATTTATACTAAAGTAATTGAGGTGTTTTCAAGGTTGGAATATTGATCTGCCAATATATACATATATTGAGTATATGATGACGGATAGAATCAATTAACTTACACTGTATCCATACATACAGTAGCTTACACAAGTCTTAATAAGACTTGAGAACTACGCTAAAAAAAAGAAAAATTATTAAAATAAAATTTATACACAAGAAATTTTGTGAGGGACATAAAATAGCGATACTATTATTATTATTACGCTGAAATACCTTTTTTTTTAGATTATTTCAAGTCAACTTAAATTTTCCAAATAGAATTTCTAAATAGTTTTCTTTTAACTTAAATTGATCTCTCAGATATCATTCTGCATATAGAAATACTAAGATAAGATTATAGAAGAGTGAATATTTTCTAAGATATATTGTACATTTTATTCTGATACTGTCCACTACATAAGTGTGAAATATCTCATAAAATTTTCGTTTTTCGATAAAGTGACTTTAATACTTTTGTAAAGTGACGGTTGGAATAGATTATCACTAAACATTTCATTATTATCATCAAAAAACACTAAGAAGAGATCATCAAGAAGAGGAAAAGAAGGAAGAAAAAGCAGAGGGGAAAAGATCTTTTGTACTCGTAACACATTTTTGTTAATAAATTCTGCTAAGGAACATATTGGACAATAAAAAGTTGTTATGAAGATAATTTAATCTTTAGAAAACGTTACTTTAGTCATATATATATTCAACTTCTCACTGTAATACAAATATTAATATTTTCTTCAACATAGTGTTTGTCAAGATTTTTTATATATTTTATATATTTATTTAAATATATTCATAATATATCATACATATGATATACATTATGGTATATCCGACCGCGTACATCGTCTACCGTTGTAAAGCATCTTGAGATCTATTAAGAAAATTATAGTGAAATGTTTTTAAATGGTTTAAATATAAAACATTATAAAATCTTTTTTTCTTCAATCACTTCCAGGTTTGTGTTTAGATTTTTTTCAGGTACTGCGATCGTTAGTTGTGCTATCAGTCTCGAATTTAAGGTGTGCTGTCAAGCAAACTGCCAGCATCTTTGTCAAGCAGCCAATAGAGAACACCGTTGTTTGGTTTTACCCTGCTAGCCGGTAGATCTTCTTTGTTCTCTAATATCCTCTGTGAGCAGAAAAATCGATAATTCCATTAAAAGAACAACACAGTTTTATGGTGTGATCAGATATAAAATATGTAAAAAATTATCTCAAAAATACATATAATTCATAATTTATAAACCAATATATTGATCTATAATATTTTCTCAATTATGACTCATTTTATCATACAGGATGTAAAGACAGCTGTCAAAATTTATATAAGTATAAAATATCACCTTCACAATGTCAGCTTTAGAGGAGCCGGTAGCGATGAAAATGCACACACGTGCATTGTTAATAACCGGCAGGGTGAGGCTAATCCTACAAGGAGGTGGTTTTGGCGCATCCACTTCCCAGGTGACCCACATATTTATCTCTTCCAGAGCACGCGTATGGTTTGGAAACAATGAGCAGGTATGCCCATCAGGACCCACACCTAGTAGCAAGCAATCGAACCGAGGAAATCTGTCCGGTGGGAAGAATGATGAAATCTTTTTAATGTAATCCATCGCCGCATCTTCCGCTACAAAAGAAATAAATTTCCATTTATTCGACTATGAAACCATATGCGAGTCATTTAGATGTACACGGTCAGGTCCAATCATCTTGTCCATGACATATGTTGTCAAGGTTATATCCCTTAGAGTAATCCTCAAAAAATTGTAGATTGTGGACACTGCTTATTAAAAACTTATAAAAAAAGATGTTGGCATTTTACAGGATTGAGAGTTGATATTTTCACATGACATATGTCAAGGTCAGGCCGATCGAAGCTGTCTCCCCTATTGTGGGCTATTACCATCTTTTCTTTAAGGGGTTGCTCCTATGTTTAGAACATTCGTCTTTGAGCATCAACAAAAAATTACTTTGTTATTTTGTCCATTTGCTTGATATATCTGCAAGGTTTTTGATTTCTTCTAATTTTTATATTGCTCAACAGTCCTTTTGTCGAACTGTTTTCCATGTCTTTAAAAGTAACAAGTATATGAAAAGTAATATGCAAATGATTTGGATAAATGGATAATTCTACACATACAAATATCTAACTAGAAGAGCAAACAGAAACAGAAAATTGCATACCAGAAAGATTAGGATCAACTTGTATGAACTGCTCCTCGGTAACTGGTACTTTGTTGATAAAGCTGTTCTTGTAGAGTGCTAAATTTGAGCGTTCATCATTCGGCTCCACAATCCGTTCATCGCAGAAAAATATGCGCCACTTGCTCCAGTCGGTTTTGATCTTTGGTAAACATTTTGCTAACACATCCACCATAGAGCCTCCTGAACAAACAAAAGCGTTTATTCAACATTTTGTTATTTCTAATTTTCAATAAACTTATTTTCTTCAACAATATATACTTATATTTATGCATACAAAACTATTCAGAAATGCTATTTAAAAAAAAATATATGTAAGTTAATCTTGAAATCTTTCTTGTACTTGAGTTCGCAAAAATAAGTATTTTTACCGCATAACATTTCTTATCTCCGCGAACTCTTACACTTTTGAAATTTTCATTTTTGGCTCAAAACATATTAAACATACATAAATTTATGTAAAGTTTTTCAAGACTGTTATCTGGAAGTAATGTTTGTCTTCTATCTTGGCAACAAAAAACATAATTAAAAGAATAGATCTGAACTATGATAAAACATGACTCATTTCGTTTTCTCACCCGATACTCCGATTCGGAAAAGGCCGTCGCCGTGCAAGAACGCGGAATCGGCAGCCTGAGAAACAACATTGTTGATGTATGCATACAGATCTTCTTCGTCTGCCGTCCGTACTATCTCGACCATTCCGTCGCGGTTAAAACAGAAGAACTTAAAGCGAAATTATATACGAGTACGATCGAAAAGTATCTCCGCAACCAGGCTGATGCGCAAGCATTGGCAAGCATGTCGAAAACGTGCCGGTCACGTCACAACATATGTTCCTTAGGAATATAGCAAGGAGGGACACTCATACCGTATTTATCTTTTGATATCACGTTCGTTTCTAATGAACTTCAACAGAGTTCGCTGCTATCTTTCCGTTAATGTTCCCTGGAGATGTCGCTGACGGATCTGAAGACTCGACAAAAACACCATCGTGAAGTTAGCAGACAAATTGAATATTTTCTAATTTTTTTCTTGTATCATTTGGGAATCATTTAGGGAAGTTTAGGAACATAGTCTCATAATTTGGGAAATAATAGTTTATTAGTAATTAATAAAAATTAATTAAGCGTTAAGTTAGCAGACATAATAAAAGAAAAATTTTTTTTAATATTTAATTAACGTAAAATTATTTGGGAAACACGTCTGTAATGTTTTTAACGTTAGGAAATTATTTTGCCAAGATTTCTCTTATGTCCAGACTCTTATTGCAGTGTCTCTAGGCTCGGCTAAAGATTTGATATTTAATACGTACTTTTATTTTTCCTGCCCTCCCCCCTGCTGCTCCGCTCTTTTTAAGCCAGCGGCACACGATGCTTGTTTTCGGGCTGGATTGCTTGCTGGATGAAAATACTGCATTCTGATTGGTGCATTTTCATCCATCTTCGAAAATATACCAATCACAACGCAGTATTTTCATCCAGCAAGCAATCCAGCAAGCAATCCAGCACGAAAACAAGCACCGTGTGCCGCTGGCTTAAGACTATCGGGCAAAGTCTGGCATAGAGGTAGCAATTGTGGTTGTAACCTTGTAACATGGACATAAATCACTTGAAAGTGAATATAGCACGGACTTTCACCACATGCAGATTTTACCATCGAGACCTGAAAGTAGTATCGTAGTTCCCTTCTCAAAATGAATGCGTCCTTTCCCTGTGCGGAATAGAGTGCCTCTAATTAGAGTGCCTCTAATCAGAGTGGCGACAAGTTGGGAGGTCCGCCATGTTTTATCGAAATCGGGTGTGTTCAGACATACGCCGTCAGTACTGAAAATCTATGAAATGTACAATTTATGAACTGACCGTAAATATCGGAACATAGTGCAAAAAGTAACACAAACATTCGTATAACCTGTAAGCGTTTGACTGTTTATATTTTCGTTTTTATAGTTTTTATAGTTTCGTTAATTATTGCAAAATGGTTGGATGTACCATACCATTTTGCAACAATTCCTCAGAAAAGGGATATATTCTGAAAATAATCCCGAGAGATGATGAACGTCGACGACAATGGATAGAACGTATAAATACAAAGTATAATTGGACGCCAGCGTTACGTTGCGTTGCGTTTGCAATTTAAAAATAAACGTAAAATTGTATTACCGAATCGTAAATTCTATGACAGCAAGTCCATGGCGATGCATCATTCGTTCAAATAACTGCAAATCTATATACGTCTATTAATTAAATTATAGTTCTAAGTTTATTTAAAGTTTATTGCAAGTGTGTTGCAAGTTTATTTAAAGTTTATTTCAAGTTTGTTTCAAGTTTATTTCAAGTTTATTTCAAGTTTATTTTCAGTTTATTTAAATGTACTTACAATAATTGTTGTGCAACATGATTACAATGTTTTGTGCAATAAAACACTATTCTGGCATTAAATAATACTTTGTTTACGCACCATTTGTTTATTTTCATTTATGTATTTGTTAACAATAAGTATCATTGTTTTATATGTTACTGTGATAATATGTTTTCCGAAAATGCGAAAAAACTCGTTTAATAACTGGCGGGAACGGATAAAACATGGCGGACCAATGAAAAGAGATATTCAGGTGTCGTCACTCTGATTAGAGGCACTCTAGTGCGGAAAGTCGGTGTCGCAGAAGATGCTGTGTTGGCCGCTCTCAGGTTTCTCTCTGCTCGAAGGTAGAAAAATGAAACAGAGTTTCGAAATTACTGACAAAGCTGAAAATTTATAATATAAACTATAACGAAACCTGAACTTAAGCTTTTCAGTGCAAGCTGTGAATATATAATAGATATGTTTAAGCAGAGAGAATTTAAAGAGAGAGAGAGAGAGAGAGAGAGAGAGTGGAATGGAACGTTGCCCACCTAATGGAGGCACCAATCAGAGAAAGATGATACAGGCGAATTTCCTGTCCCATCAGTAAGTGCGGCTTAAGGAGACTTTTGTTTTTTAAAATGTTAAAAATTTTTTAATTTGAAATTTTTAACTCGCTCAAACATGTTATACTGTTGTAATGTCAAAAATGAGAATGCAAAGTTACCCTCGGGGAAGCACGTGAAGCCCGAAGGATTCGCGATTCTTCGGCAGCGCGAATTTCATAATAGATGTGTTGTCAAGCGTAGTAACATCCGGCACGAACACTCGCGACTTCCGGTGACGGCCATCTTATAGGACGCTCTATGTCTGATACACATAAGGACTAGTTTAGAAAATTGTCCCGAAGTTTGGTGACAGCCAGGCCTCGATTATGCTAAAATCGGAAGAGTAAGTATGAGACTCGTCGTTTGTGTATGATTATCCGTCCGTCAACCAGATTCCCGCGATAAATTAACCGCGTGAATGAAGCGACCGAAGTGCTGCCACGCTTATGCAAAGGGCCGCGATTCGTGCATAAGCATTCCGGCGTTGTCACGATGATAAGAAAATGTATTCTAACTCCCTCAATATCTCCTGCTCGATGAACTTTACGATATCCTGGTCGTGATTTTTATGGCCGTCAATCGTGATCCCACACTTTGGCCCCGTAATGCCTCCTACAATGCTCTATTTCTTCTGCGACTTCAATTTTTTTTTTTTGTCGGATTTACACGTGCCATAGTTTACACTGGCTGTGTACGATATTGCGATGACAGACAATCCCCGTTTGTGTGTTGTGATTGTAGCAATCAACAGCAAAATAATGATGACAGAGACAGGAGCAGAGAACGCGACCGCAATCGGAGATCAGACAGACCGAATCGTCTGAACTCGGCCACCCGCGACCGCAGTCGAGAAAGAAATGAACGTGGCAGGAAGGCCTCTGACAGACGGATTTATGTATCAAACATTCCATATGATTTTCGCTGGCAGGATCTCAAAGATCTATTCAGGACAGAAGTTGGCAAGGTAGCACATGTGGAACTTTTCACTGATGAAAATGACAAGCCCAGGGGATGCGGCATTATGGAGTTTGAAGATTCAGAATCAGTGAAGATAGCGGTGGAAAAGATGCATCGGTATGATATCAAAGGACGAAAGCTTGTTGTCAAAGAAGTAAGTGAGAGATGCTGTATTGTATTGTACTGTATTATATTTTATTTTATTTATTGTGATCCTTTCGGAAACACAATTTAGTGTATTAATGCCTCCGCTCATGCTTCTCTTCCTAATCTCCCCCCCACACACACATACATACACACACACACACACACGCCTCTTCCCATCCTCTCTTCCAACCTTTCCTCTTAATATTTATATACTAACTTATTACTAACGTACAGACTGCTTCTCTTAACCTAAGCTTAGCCACTAGTACTTATGCTAATTACTATCACTTAATACTACAACTTATTGCTATCTCATATCCTACTTAGATTTAGTGAGACCTCTGTTTCCATTCCTGCATTCTCTCTCTCTTTCTCTCTCTCTCTCTCTCTCTCTCTCTCTCTCACACATTCCCTCTCCCTCCTCCTCTTTTTAATGAGAGATGCTGTAATAAAGGTAATTTTCAAATTTATTCCTATAATATAAAGTAAATTCATTAATGTATTGTACGAATTTACGCAAACTTAAAGGCTCCACCTGCACTTGATAATTTGGTTTTTGAGGGACGACTTGACTCAACACATTGCTATGTGTTTTTGCAGGACTTTGATGTTGAACGTGATAAGTATGGACGGTTGACTACAGGTCGTAACAATGACAGAACACGTGATGATAGATTCAGAGGACCTCCCAGGCCACAAGGAGGTGGACGACAAAACATGTCTGCACCTAGTGGTGGCGGCGGCGGCGGCGGTGGCGGCGGTGGCGGTGGCGGCGGCATTGGCGTTGGCGGCGGTGGTGGCGGTGGCGGCGGTGGTGGCGGCGGCGGTGGCGGAGGCGGCGGCGGCGGCGATAATAAGTTTGGAAATACATATGGTCTCAGCACACAGTTCTTGGAATCTCTGGGCATCAATGGGCCATTAGTCACAAGAGTCTTTGTTGCTAATGTTAGTACATTCGTTCAGGGTGTTACCTGTAAGAGACGCATGATAATGTTGATAAATTGATAAAGGCTCTTGATTATAGCTGGATTATAAAGTTGACGAGAAGAAATTGCTTGAAGTCTTCAAACTGGCGGGCAAAGTGTTGCATGTTGAACTAGGAAAAGACAAAGATGGTAAATCAAGAGGATTCGGAGTCGTAGAGTACGACCACCCGGTAGAATCTGTCCAGGCAATATCGATGTTGCACAATCAACAGTTGTTCGACAGACGCATGACTGTTAGACTCGACAGAGCCAACGAGCCGGACATGCCGCCTAAATTGCCAGAAGGTAAGACGTTCACACACCGCTCACACGTGGATCTGTTCTCACGAACAAACATAACTGTCGAATCGCCAGGCTTGAAGGGTATCGGTATGGGTCTCGGAGCCGGCGGCAACAGACTGTTGGATGTGGCTCGGAACATTCCTAACGTGCAAGCAAACAACCCACCAGTGGTCAACCCGATTTCAGCTCCTGTCTTGGCAGCCGGCGCTTTCGGTGCGAGTTTGAATAACGTGGTGCCAGCACAACTGGGTAAATCGCGCTAGCCACGCAGTTCGTAGGCCCATCTCAAATAAACAGGAGTCGCGTTTGTTTGCAGCGTCAGCACTGTCGAATACTAATGCAGCCGCGTTGCAAGCTAGTCTCGCCGGTGGCTTGGGCGCTAACCTCACCACTAATTCATTGCTCAACTCGTCGTTGACCAACGAATTAGCGTCGAACCTGAACAACTTCGGCGGTGGCGTGGGTGGTTTGAGTGGGCTGCAGGCAACCTTGGGCGGCGGGCAAGGTAACAACTCGTTCGCACCGCGCGGCTTGTCAAAATTAGACAACGACATCGGTTTCGGCAACAACAACGCCTTCGGCGGCTCCAACTTCGGAGGCGGCAGGGACTTTGACGGGGGTTTCAACAGGGGTGACGGTGATCGCGTGTCTGCTGGTGGCGGCGGTGGTTTCTCCGGGAATCAGGGACAAGCCGGCGGAGGCAATAGACAAAATTCCAACGGCTCACGCTCGATGTCAGACACTGTTCTCATATGCAATGTACGTGTCGCATTTCCGTTCGAGTCGATGTTATTCGTGCGGCACGGAATATTGATTTTGTTTCTCCGGTTGCAGTTACCACCGAACACTACGTGGCAGATGCTGCGCGACAAGTTCCAGGATGCAGGAGAGGTCAAGTTCGCGGAGATGAGGGGTACCGACATGGGCATGGTACGGTTCGCATCTGAATGGGATGCTGAACGTGCTGTGAGTATCCTTTTTTAAACGACGTGGCTGCTGCGATAATGACAATACGATCCAAGGAGGTATGTTTCAAATTGAATAGATGTTTCTCCGAGCTGAGAGCTCGTTCGCTTCAGCATTTTCATCGGCTCGTGCAATAAGCAGTTTTTTGGATCTTTCAGACGCTTTCGATGAAACGATTGTATCTTTATATCGTTATAATTTTATGAAACAGCGTATGTCCAGTTTTGATCTACAATGTAGCATTCTTTGCGTGCGTTGTTTTGTTAGATTATAACGTCGTAAGGACACAATCGTTTCACTTAAGAAATTCTTGTCGAATCACTTGTCGTATAGATTAATATTTATTTTCAGTTGGTAATTGCATATGCATAAAAGTTGACATTGAAACAGGGGAATTGGAGAACATTCGTTCTCCAATTGTACATAAAACATTAAGGCATATTCCCTAATCGTATGCAAAGAGCGCGTAAAGAGGGAAAAAACATGCTCCTAATGTGTATTTACCATTAGTACCATGAAAGAAGGAGGGCGTACTAGGTGGCGACGGGACGCCGTGCGTTCGGGACCTGCATCTTATTTTCGTTCCGAAGAGAGAAAAATATCGAGAGCGCGGTAGTCGTTAGACCGGGAATCGAACCCGGGTCTTTTTCGCTTGCCGGGCGACTGCTCCAGACCACTGAGCTACCTGACGCTCCACGCTCACGACACTCTCCTCTCCCTAGATAACGTTGAGAGATGTCGTTCGGAAGCGACATCTCTAGCGCTGTCCCGAGCGCACGGCGACTACAGAGAGATGCATTGTTACCTGTACCTAGTGGTACAAGCTGGTGGTCTCTCAAGGTCAAAGGTTGCTATCCTTTAAGACTTGCTGTCCATGTATGCCGGCCTCCACCGTTGCCCCTTCTTATCCGGTGCAAATCATAGAAATAAGCCCCGGGGTCGACGCCATATTTTGGCTGCCCCCGGGCGCTTGAACATGTTTTTGCAACGCGCCGAAGGGGGATCCACCATGAAAGAAGGAGGGCGTACTAGGTGGCGACGGGACCGTGCGCCGTGCGTTCGGAACCTGCATCTTATTTTACCAAATGTACCAAAAAGTAGTAACAAAAAATTTTCCTTATCGGCGGCAATCAGCTATGATGAACCGAACACGCATTGACGGCCGAACGATCGATGTGCGCTTGTACTAAAAGGGCTCGTGGATCAGTGGACGATACAAGGTAACGTTAATAAACAAGATCGTATATCTACGAAATCTTAAGCTTAATAACTTATTGACGCAGCGTGAGGAAGCTGGGGTGTTTGTGTGTCGTCTGTGTGCAGGATTGTTCCGCTCCCGATGACAATACTTGAAATTCATCCTAGTTGTGGCAGAACTTTAGAGAACAGTGAGTGAGGGAGAGAAAGTGAGAAAGAAAGAGAGAGAGAGAGGGGGAGAAAGAGAGAGAGAGAGAGAGAGGGAGAAGTATCTAATCTTCAGAAGATCAGCAAGTCTCGTTCGATTGTGGCTACTCAACGTCGAAACGGTCGTGTCGGCTACTGACGAACACCCTCTCCACATCCATCCACCCACTCACCGCTGCCGCCGCCGCAACCACCACCACCACCACCACCACCACAACCACCACCACCACCACCTTTCAGCCCCTCCCGCCTGCCTCTCGACTCTGTTCCCTCAGTCTTTTTACCTCTTCGTCTTGTTGCGATTTTGTCAATTCAATATTGTTTACACCACGCCGGATTATGGTTCCTTTTTACAGTGGAAGAAGTCTTCACCAATTGTTCGCCTCATAAATCGGTCTTTTTTTCAAGTAATATCGAGACTTAGTTTAGTCGCTTAAGGCCTCTGGTCCCTCGTCGCGGGACTCTTGGTCGATGATGTCAAAAGCGAGGAGATCCATACTAGAAAAACTCTTACGGATTATGTCGAGATAAAAAGGTGTATCCGTAGAATGCACGACACGTGCAGTCGATTCGGTGCATTCGTAAATTGCTCCGAGAATTTTACTTTTGTGGACGCAAGTAGGCAAAAAGTCAACATAAAGAAAGGTAGGTGAACCTTAAAAAGGAGGGTTGCGCTTCATGTTAATTTTACGATTATTCGTTGATTGTTCGAGCAAAAAGAGAATTTTCGGAGCATCTTGGGAGAGTATTCGATCGATTGCAAATGGTCGATTTTTCCGGATACGGTCTTTTTATCCCGACGCAATCCCTAGGAGCGTTCTGGAGCGAGCTTCTTCGCTTCTGGCGTCATCGTCCAGGATGCCTGTGGCGAGATAACGAGAGCCTTAAGCACATAGGTTCACAGATGATCGTTACTGTGTAAGCTAGCAGGTCCCCTTTTTTCATTGTATAGGTAGTATTATTGTTTTACAGTCTGTTTACGGTAATTAGCAACTGTAATCTGTAAGTTTACATCTTAGTTGTCATGACGAGAGATCGATCGGCTGTCCATCGCTCGCTTCTGAAGAAAGTGACGCTCTGGTCGTTCCGCCAAGCAGGGATAGAGGTTAATCTATCGATCACACGGAAACGCACTTTTACCACGTCGTGAGATGGACCAACAAAGAATAAAAAGAAATCATTGTCCGCTCGAACTGCTGATTAACGTTCATGTCTGCTGAGTATGTGTGTGTATGTGCGCGTGTGCGTGTGCGCGTGCGCGCGCATGTATGTGTGTGTGTGTGTGTGTGTATCTGGCTCTTATCGAGAGTAGCGATAGGCGCGCTCGTACAAATCTCATTTTATGCAGATCGTGTATAAGACTCCTGGTCCCTCGTCGCGCAACTTTTGATTGATGACGTCAAGGACGAGGAGACCCGAGATTTTTGCGTGGCGTTTCCACCCAAGATATTCGTGCGAGGGGAGTCGCGACTTCGAGTCGCTGCAACGCACTTGTCAAGTCACTCCGAACACCGTGCTTTTCCGTAGAATGACTGAGGTTGATCGTACCAAATGATCCCATATGACTGGGTTTCACAACGCGGTCATCTTATGGTTGCTGCTTGACCGTCAGGGGAGAAGCGCGGTGCGCGGAGCACTCGACGAGAGTACGCTCCAGCGATCGGAGATCGATTCTTTTTCGTCCTGCGAATATCACTTTACCCGGAAGTAACGCGCAAGAATGTTCAGCGTGTCACTTCTCGCGTCTGACGTCACTATCCGACATGGCCGCGACGAGCAGCCGGGAGCCTTAAGAGAGCTAGTTATTCTCGTCGAATTCTCGTCTCGCATCGCATCGCTCGTACTTTTCGCCGAGTAACTAGAGGCACTGACGTCGTGATGCTTCTTTGACAACAGGATACCAACCAACATGCTCCGTCGCGGTAGGACCTATTATTATTATGATTATTATTATTGTTTTTATTTCGGTTCTTTAATGATTTGCTGTACACACTTCGCACCGTCTCTCTGTCGCATTGTCGTTGTAAGAGAATCGAATTGTCCTTAGTACGCGACGGAAATTTGTTATAGTCGCCGTCTCAGGACGATCCTTCCTCGATTCGGTGTGTGATTCGTGTCTCTCGGGGCGAGCCAACGTCGGATCAAGTTTATATCCCCCACCCCCCACCCCCTAGCCCCGTAGGAAGTTCAGTTAAACTGTCTTTGAGTTCTCTGCGCCGTTTTAATATGTTTACCAAAAAGTAAAGCCGCGCTCTCTTTCTCTTTACATCAGAACGTAGGTTTTACTTTCGTCCTCTTTTTTTCTTTCTTTTTTTTTTTTTTTTTTTTTTTTTAATTAAAAATAAAAAGACAATTTTTTTGTTTCCGATACGTCGTCACCCGCGCATCCCTCTCCGGGCGCGAGGGGACGTCGCGCTGCTGCTTCCGGCGGAACGTTATTGTCGTTGCAATCAGCTCGATGTTTCCCGGATGTTATTTTTTGGTAAACATAACAGTCCCCCCTCTCAGCCATGTAGAATTCGAGGAACATTCTGCGCATTGTACACATTCTTGTATAACCACACAATTTCATGATAGTGATTGAATAAAATTCAGACTCGTTTTGTGACTATATCATGGAAAAAAAAAAGAAGAAGAAAAAAAAGAAATATGCTGGTCGTTGTGTTTTATTTCTGTGCTGTTATGAATTTTTATTACTTTTTAAATTTCTCTCTCTCCGCAAGTGCGTAGTCTCATCGCGTGACGGCTCGGACGCGCGTGTGCGTGTGCGGTTTTTTTTTTTTAAATGATCGCGACACGCATCTGCGCGACTCGACTTTTGCGCGGTATGGGTGAGAGATGCCTCGTGCGTCAACGTTGACGAGGCCGGTTGCTTTTTCGTCGGCGTGTCTTGGAGCGCAAATATCCGCCTCGATTGTATCTCTTCCGCACACACACACCGGGACGTCGATAGAGTCCTCAGTGGATTATTCAGTGCAGTGGGAAAGAGAGAGAGAGAGAGAGAGAGAGAGGGAGAGAGAGAGAGAGAGAGAGAGAGAGAGAGAGAGAGAGAGAGAGAGAGCTCGTTCACACGGCAGGTGAGATATCTTTTCAGATGACTTTCTTCTCCCCGAGTTTGTTCCATTGTGCCGAAGACGTTCCGAAGGGAGAGAGAAAGAAGGTGCGTGACGGTTGACGATGTCTCCGACCGCTCGGTGATTAGCAGCAGATTGCGATTCGCTCCTTTCTCTTATCAATTAGCGAGAATCGAGGGAAGCGATGCTCTTCAACTCTGTGTGTTTTCGTGTGGGCGATCGTCAAAGGTATCAAAGTGTGTTCCTCGTCGCCGGCTGGCTTTTAAACGACGCTTTTAATGCGAACAACAGAGCGGGTCGGCGGGTTTTTGTAACATTCTTTTCCTCTTTTTTTTTTCTTTTTTTTTTTTTTTTTTTTCCCGTAGTGAGGGACGATTGCAACATCGGATTCTGGTTCTCGTGCTCTTTAACGTGGGTTTCTGGTCGATCTTGGGTGTGTGTGAGTGTGTGTGTGTGTGTGTGTGTTTCGTATTTGTCATGTATAGAAAAAAGCGTGTAAACGGCGGCGAGATCTTCCACGCGCGTCGCCACGACGACACTCGCGTGTCCGCTTCCCAAGTGTCCTTGTGGCCGGTACGGCTCTCTCAGTAGGACCTCTCTGTCTCGGTCTGTGTCGCATGCGGGGGAGACTCGGCGGATCTTCTTTCCGAGGCCGAGGCGCGTCCTATGGTAAGTGTGCTCGTCAACTTTGCTCAGATCTCGAATCTTTCCACCCTCTGCGACCGGTGTGCCTTGCTCTCAGCGCTTTTCTCGCCCATCTCTGCTTTCACACACACACACACACACACACACACACACATTTACGTCGGCACACTGCATCGGAAAACCTCCGCCACGTGTTGTGTCAGAGAAAACGTGGCGCTCGTATTCTCTCCCCTCGACTCTTTTTTTCTTTTTTTTTTCCTCGTTTAGTTCCTTGGTAGTCTCGGTGGTTTCAGCGCATGACTCGCTCTCGTCTCGAGGATATCGGTGTCCTGTGTCGTTTCCGCAGTTTAACGGTTCGTCGGTTCCAGGGATCGGTTCCAGGGAGGTGTGCTCTTCGCTGTTGTACCTGTGCGAGTCGCAGCGACGACGCTCGATGTCTTGCCTTTTCTTTTATTTTTTTTTTTTTTTTCGTACGGGGACGACAAGTGTATATTCGCATGCTTTTTTCCTCTCGTGAGATAGACGGAAGGAGAGAATGTAGCACGTGGTATTGCGTCATCTAGAGAATAAGTATTTTTCATTTTTATCACGCTGGGGGCGGGGGGCGGGGGTAGGCGCATGCGAAGAGAGAGTCACATGGTGGATATATTAATTATTTCCAGGTCACGCGATCGGGAAACACGCGTCGCCGAGTGCAACAAGGTAAGTCTCGACAATTGGCGAGCAGTCATCTTACGCAAATGTGTTGTTCTTGCAGGGTAACGATCGCGCGAGCGACGCGTCGAGTTTGATACATTAAACTCGATAAAGTAGAGAAAGAGAGATAGATGGTGAGTGTGTCGCGCGGAGTAAAAGAACAGAACGAGCCTGCTTTTCAGTCGCGCACCTGCATTTTCGAGAGCTCGTTTTATTTTTGCGTCGCAAAGCGGCTCTCGGAATGCGTGGACACAAAGTGTAAAGACGCTATCTTCGCGTAGGGAGAGCGAGAGGGGAAGGGAGGGGGGAGATAAAGTTGAGATACGACGTATCGCAGTTTAGAGAAAAAAAAAATGGCTGATCATAGGACGTGCATAAAGATGCGTCGGACATTTTTCTACACACACACACACACACACACATACACACACGCGCGCGCGCGCACATACACATCGATTCGGGAAAATCGAAGCTCACACGGCTCGTGCGAAACGTGTACATACAAAGTCGCGCGGACACGAGAACGCTGCTGCGTTGTGAGCGAAGCCTTAACCGCGTGAACGGCACTGCGTTCGTCGCGCGCAAAAAAAAAGTGTGCAACGCACCGCCGCTCATCGACAGCTCTCCTCTCTGGGACGAGGAAAATCGGCATCTCGATCCAACGTCGCACACGCGCCTGCTCCTTCGTGCATTGTGATATACACTTGTGTGCAATCGTTATAGTGATGATGTATTTTATAATGGATTTTATCACGTTCGAAATAAAGACGGTCCCAAGACAGGTGGCAAAGGAAGAAAAAGAGAACAAACGATAGATGAACGTGTCTCCCGCGCGAATGAATCGTCATGAATTCCGAACGCACGCTCGCGGTCGAGTCTGCGGTGTCACGTCGCGCTGGAAAATTACACGTTGCGGCGGATCAGCAAAATAGCCCTTCCCCCCCGCTGCCGGGCGTAGTGCAGCAACGGCGAGCTCGCGTGTTGCAGTCGGAACGAGGCAGTAACGGAAAAAAAGAAAGAAAAATAACGACGCGACCGCCTATGCTTCTCACGAAGATTCCCTTCCGTCTCTTTGTGCCTTCTGTTCCTTTCGTTCTTTTTTACGCTTTTTTATTTTATTTTATTTTATTTTTATTTATTTTTTTTTAATACGCAAAGATGTGTGTGTAAACGTACCTACCACTCCACGTTGTGTTCCGGCGTCGGAAAGTTTCTTTCATTAAAAATTCACATTCAATTTCTCTCTGTTCTTTATTCGTTTATACAGCAAGGTAAAAAGTCACTTCTCTAAGATTACACACTTGTAATTTAACGTACATTTATATATATATATATATATATATATATATATATATATAGTGTGTGTGTGTATATATATATGTATATGTAACACACAGTCTGTCTAAAAAATTCCTAAACTACTGTCACAAGATCCAAAAAAAAAAAGAAAACAAAAACGAAATGATAAAGATCAATTTAATGAAAGCTTTCTCATACAATCCTCGGACGCGCCAATACACCGTTGAGGATGTTCCCTACTCCTGTACCGTGGGAGATCGATAACTGCTTATTTTGAATCGCTTCCCACTCATCACTAACTTGAGTTTTGCAAGTAGAAGTCTGTACGGGCGCCAAATTTGGCGAGATCGGGCGCTTAATTTCGCCAAGTGATGACAACATCAGCTGTGTTATCAAGCAGCGGGGGGAAAACCCTCTCCGCGCACGGAATCACGATATTCGCTTCAAGAGTTTCACCCTCGAATGGAACTTCAAGTTGAGTGCGGTGGTCCCGAGTGGGGTAAATTTTTGATAAATATTGCCCTTGAAGAGAATCGAAGAGTTCAACGAACATTGTCCTCACTTCCAACTTGGCCTGCTGAACGTGGACGAGGGGTGCTTTAGCTCAGCCATTCGGCGGCCACTCGGGCGTTTCGTGATCGATTCATATCGGAAGCACCACGATTCGTCGCTAGTCATTATAGACGTGTTTGGTTGAACAGAAAATTTTGCCACGGTCCTTTGTTCCATTTTACACACGCAGATACGAGCTGGGAAAACGTGTAAATTTCACGCTCCTTCAGCGTGGACTGATGATAACCGGCTGCAAGGGTTAGAAGGTATAAAGAGAAGGGGACTTGATAGCGTTGCTACCGCCCGTTCAGTCCAACCGATGGCGCCACTTGTGGGTCCGAGGAACAAACTTGCCCAGGATCGAATAGATCTCTCCAGCGCGCCCACTTGTATATTTGTATATTTCAATAAATCAAAATTTGTCCGAGAATCTTTTAAACAGACTATGTACGTTATCGCTAAGCATGTGTGAATATGTATGTGTATATGTGTGTGTGGGTGTGTGTGTATGTTTTTTTATTCAACGTGGTATGTATATATTTATATAATATGGCTCGCGCGCGCGGGGTTTATGTATACAGGAGAGGCCTTTAAGTAGCCGAGTTCGTAATCATAGAATCACAATGTTCATTATCTCCGCTGCCGCTATCGCGTTTTTTAATTTCGAAATAACACTTTCCATCTTAATGAATACATTTTTTTCCACCGAGACACAGAGTCCTCTTGTAATCATTACGCACCGATACCAGATAGTCAAAGAAAGAAGGGAGCGGGGGGGGGGAGTAAAAGAGAGAGAGAGAGAGAGAGAGAAAATGATCTCTAGCGAGAATTTACATCGCGCGACGATCGATTCACTTATCTCGTAACCAGAAACAATGACGAGCGCAGGATCGTTAGAGAAAGACTGATCGATTTCATTCGAGAAACGAACTTGAAGGACTCCGTCGCGCGAAGCTAACCGTCGTGCGAGCGTGACTTCCGGTACGATTTGACACTGCAAAATTAATTTCTGTTTTCTCTTGTCGAACGGGCAATTCGCGCGAACTCGTCGGCTTTTTATCAACTAGTAATATGCGATCAACAAGGATTCGTTACGAGTTAATTGATATAAATTAACGGTAAAAATTACGGGGAGAAACTTTGTCAGCAGGAAAATTTCACGTTTGAGACGAAACGCCCGACCTTCGTCTTCGACCTTCGGAGAGAAGTCGTCGGTCAAGAGAGAGTGAGGGAGAGGGGAGATCTCTCCGGTATCGAGAGCCTGCTCTTTTCCTTACAGTAAGTCGTTATGAAAATTGTACTTCGCAAGAGAAAGATCATCCGTACCGGCAAGCCGAGTTTCGATGGGAACGCGATTAAACAAACGGATGAACGAACGAACGAACGAACGAACGAATCGGAGGATTCGGGTTAACCATAATTATCACCGTCGCTCTCTGCATTGCTGCTGGTGCTGATACTGTTGTTACCACTGCATCTTCCTTTCACGATCAGTCGGCGGTCCGCCATTTCGGGGCTAATCACGTCGCGCGAGAGCGCGGGCCACGTGTCTCGATGTTGCTAGTGCATGTCGACGAAGGCGCGGAGGTGCGCGGGCACTTTGACGACCCTCTGCGTGCTCTTGATCACCCGCGCGGCCAAGCAGGTCAGCGTGGTGTACTTGATGGGGTAAATCGAGTCGTACCTGCGCTTGTCGCACAGCAACATCTGGAAGGTGCAGCGGTTCTTGTTGACCGCGTCCAAGTGCGCGCCGGCGTCGAGCAGGGCGATCGCGAGGTCCGGTCGCCATGGGCACGACAACGCGGCCAAGTGCAGCGCCGTGTTGCCGTCGTTGTCGCGGGCGGTCACGTCTGCGCCCACTCTCAACAGCGCTCTGGTCAAGTGAGGCGACGGGAACTTGCAAGTGGGATACCTGCTGACTAGGGTGCCGTCCTCGCTGTGGATCAGCTGCAGTGCATCGCGACCCTGCGCAAATGCGAAGCATGCGGATTACGTGTTACCGATACTGTTTTGTTCCTTTCCTGTGAGAGGGAGAGCGAGAGGGAGAGAGAACGTCTGGCATTCTGGTGACTGGAATTGCATACTTGCAATGTGAACAAATGCGAACCATTTATAGCCGGATAAGCCACTTTTGCAGCAAGTGTGTGTCAGTGACAATCGCAACGTCGCTGCTGCTGCCGTTTTCTTAGAATAATAATACATGTGGCTGAGGTCGAAAAGGATTAAATTTTTATCGGCTACAAATTAACGATCGTAGTTGATCAACAAATTATCATTAAGATTTGCAACCTTAATTGCAATCGCAATGAATATTACTTTCACACACAACACTTTTTCGCGAATGTATCGCGAATTTCTGCGACACTCAGTCTTTTGCTATTTCTCTAGCCAGCGGAATCGCCAGTCCGTTCTCTCCCGCGCTTTAGAGGGAGCAGTGAAGCACGATGATTGTACGTATTGAAATAGCGGCAATCGTCACGAGCACTGACCTGCTTGCCTTTGGCCTTTATCCGGACTAACTCGTAGATCTGCTTGTGCAAAGCGACGTACTCGTCGCTACCCTCCTCCGCTGTCTCGCGCGTCAACAAGCATGCCAAGTGCAGGGTAATGACGAGGACCCTGTTCAAGTATGTCAAGTCGCGCTCGCAGACGGGCATCTTGTCCAACATCTGCTTGCCTCTTTTCACCTCCATAACCTGCGAACAGTTTGCCCGCGTGACAATAAGCAAACGGTCGCGCAAAGCGATATTATCTCGGTCGAGAGGCACGACCGCTTCTTCTGGTGACACACTCACGGCTTTCTCGAAGACTCTCAAGAGCTCCTCCCGTTGTACCGGCGGTACTCTGCGACCTCTGGTCGTCTGTCTGCCTTCTTCGCCCACCATGAAGCTGAAGAGTTCCGTAAAACTGAACAGAGAGCTTTGCGTCATAGGATTCAACGGCTCGAGCATGTTCTGTTGCATGTCGAGCGCGTAGTTCCACAGCTCGATGCAGCGACGGAATTTACCCGCGTCCGCGTAGACCGCCCCTCTATATCGGATGTAGTAACTAGTGTCGGGGTGGGCCGGTCCCAGTATGCGCTCTCTGATCACCAGCGCCTGCATTCGCATCTCATCCGGGTCCGCGAGCAGCTCGTCCAACGCCTCGGGCTCGGATATCTCCCGGGCGAAGTCGTAAGCGGCTACCAGCGGCGAGAACTTGGGTTTCGATATCACCGGGCCATCTCCTCGATATCTGAGATATGAAAACAGTCGCGACGAATCTGGCATTAAAATTCCTCTCCCTTCAGCGAGGAAGGTACGTTCGAGGTCGCACCGGGAAAAAACAATGGATTAATCCTACTAAAATTATAATAATTTTCAATCCCGATATCACACTCTATTCTTCTAAATAAAGAAAAAATCAATCAAGCGCGATACCAACATAAGATGACAGACGTCAGCACTATGGTTACTGACTATAGCAATGACGTTTTCCTATTCCTGATTGTAATTATTCTACGCAATTATATAGCAGCAAACACACCATTCTCTCTCTCTCTCTCTCTCTCTCTTTCTCTCTCCTTCTAGTGTATATACGTGCGTGTTGTGAACGGTCGCCTTTTGATGAGAAGAGAATAGCAGACCGCCTCTGCACTCGATTTCCCGATTACACGAGGAAGAAGCTGGGACACGTACCGTTCGTTCATGGCTCGTTTCCAAAACTGCAGGGCGCCTATCATGTCCCTCTTTTTGTCCACGTACGTGGCCCCGAGCAATTCCAGCGCGTCGATGCGTTCTTTCCTGCTGAACAGATGCGGCATGCCTATGAGGTACTCGACGATATGCGTGTGACCTGGAAGACGCGGAAGAAGTTTCGATCAGCGCTCGTTGTTCCCTCGGCCGTCCAAGCGTTGCGTTGCAGTGATCGCTTTCGGACGAGCGAGCGAACACAGTCTTTCAAGATGGAACCTTCGTGCGATGCGCGCGGAACTTTCTGGCTTTAACCTGTTACTGCTGCCGCGAGGAGTGGCGTCATCCCGTACGAGTCTACGTCCATCTGGGCGCCGTGCTCCACGAGCACCTTCAGTATCTCCAGAGATCCGCTCTCGGCGCAGTCGTGCAGCGCCGTGTTGCCCTTTACGGACTTACGGTTGGCGTCCGCCTTCAGCGCGAGTAGGAACGTTGCGATTTTGATGTGACCCCGGTAGCACGCGATCATCAGGCACGTGTGCCCGTGTCGGTTCGCCATCTCGATATCTGCAACAAACGCACACGCGCGCGCACGCGTTCATGGAGGATGTTTCCAAGGTGTCACAGTTTCTCTCATTTTACGAAGGGCATCAAGATTTGCAAACAAGGACATTTCGTAAAGGAAAGACAGAGTTTCGTCAAGTTTCCTGTGTTTCTCTAGGCAGAATCTCAAGTGTTTTTTCCTCGAAGTTATGCACACACACACACACACACACACACACACACACACACACACACACACACACACACACACACACACACAATGACCCACGTTTATGAAAGGTTTACGCAGTTTCTCTCAATTTTTTGTCTTACAAAGATCACGATTGATAGACAAATATTCATAAAAGGAAAGAGTTTTATGAAGTCTGTCCTTTTTTTTTTTTTTTTGTAATAAGCTATTCTCCGTCTCTGATATTTTTGCCAAAGTTACGGCCAATCGACTTATTTTTGACCGAGGCCTACGCGAGAGAGAGAGATGTTTTTCAGCCCGCAGACGGTAAACAACTTATGATAATTGAGATTTCACATTTCCTACCTGCACCGTGTTGCACCAGAAACTTGACGATGTCGTAATGTCCGTCGAAGCAGGCGGCGCGGAGGGGTGTAGAGTTCGTCTTTGTGATCGAGTTCACCTTGGCGCCTCGTTTCACCAGCAACTTCACCAATGCCAAATGGCCAGCCGCGGCTGCACACCACAAGGGTGGCGCACCCTCGATCGTTTCGCCGTCGAAGACCACTGAAAACGCGCGAGCGATCAGCCTTTGGCTGATGAAAAACTGATCTGACTCGGCTTTGACTCTCCGGAAGGCGGAGGATCGGTGAAAGTCGAAATCAAAAGCGACCCGAGTAAAATAAGACTACGATGCGACGCGCCGGACGGAAGAAACGAGATGTTCATCATGCCGGCCGGGTTAACTGCCGATCTCCAACTTATTAATATTATAATTGTATCCCCGACCTATTTACCGCCTCGTTCGTCGACTCGTTCGAGATGAAACTCCGTCACTCTATGCAACGTCAACACGGAGAAGATAATTCCGTTAGCATAACTAAATTCTCCGTTACCCGGGAAGAATAGAGGCTGAAATGGAGGCAACTCGGCTTTCTAATCAGTCATCAGGCTTTCTAAATCATCTATTGTATTCACTTATCCCAACCGAGTTTATCTAGCGCAGCTGAATGTTCAGCAGAATTTCTTTTCGATCGCGCTGTGCAAACAGAGATGTCATTCTTCCCCCTCCCCCTTCATCACCCTCTTTCTCGTCGTCGGATTTCCTTGCCTTATTCAGTTCCCTATTCAGTTGCACTAACCGACATCTTTCTTCTCCGTGTCGCGAAAGAATATTTCCTGCAAACATATAAATTTGCAGACAGCGAATAGATCAAAGTCGTGGAAACATTAAAGATCGATAAGAGTCCGAGCGGTTATCGTCGCTCAAGCTGAAGCTAGAATTCGCTCATCAAAGCGGACGCGAGGACGAGCTCGACTCGCGCCATGACGATCGCACGCGCGCAGATCCTGCGCGCTCGAGAATCGTCCGGATAATTCGCGGGCACGAGCCTCCGCCTCCGGGCGATTCATTTCGGCGGGAGGATCCGGGCATACCAGCGGTTCATCGGCCCGAACAAGGCCGTTAATGAAAGAATTGCGCTCTCACCTGACCCAGGTTGCTCCACGTCCGCCCCACATTTTTCGATGAGATACTCGGCGACGTCGTAGTGCCCGTTCCGACACGCCATGACTAACGGCGTTGCGCCATGGGTTTTGGCGCCGACCAGTTTTCCTACCTCATCCTTGGCTCGATGGTCCAGAAACACCTTTCCAGGGGGAGAAAGAAAAGAACAAGGCGTATGTAATACGTGCGCGTAATACGCGTAGCTTTCACGATTTTTATGACCCGCCGCCGTGACCATGTAAAGGATGTAAACTCGCGAGCGAACATCGACATAAGGCAGAAGCGGAAAGAAAGGGGCAAAGAGAGAAAGAGAGAGAGAGAGAGTGAGAGAGAAAAGGAAAAAGCAGAACGGCATCGATTAAAATTGAAATTACGATCCTTGCGACTCGCACGACTCGACCACAGCAAAAAAGACGAGCCAGTCGGAGATATTCGCTGATTATTGGGCGCGGTGAAGCGCCACTTAACATTGAGATGGGTGAAAATTTACCCGATGATGCTTTTTAATTTCTATCGTTAGATAGCAGCACATTACACAGCGGTGTCCCGTTGGGATTTATAACGTTCACAAATATCTTGGGCCATTTATGCTCAAATAAGGGAAGTTTCTTCCTACACGGTGGAAGGTTATGTTTTCCTCAAAAAAAATTGTATATGATTTAAAACTGTCTTATACGTTGCTACAAATTTTTATCAAATATTTATACTTGATGTATATAAAAAAGAAAAGAACAAAAAAAAATAAAAAATGTATGGGTAGAAATTCACCCGTAATAGAAGGTATCAACATTCTGGTTCAAATAAGAAAAGTTTTTTTCCTACAGTGAAAGGTTGTTATTTTTTCCTTAAAAAATTGTATATGATTTAAAACCGTCGGACACATTGCTATAAATTTTTACCAAATATTTATACTTGATTTTATATATTGATTTGATATATTATACTTGATGTATACTAAAAAAATAACAAAAAATGTGTGGGTAGGAATTGATCCGTAATAGGAAGTATCAACATTCTACTTCAAATAAGAGAAGTTTTTTTCCTACAGTGAAAGGTAGAGATGTGCAAATCAAGAATTTTTATGCCGAATCGAATCTCATTTAAAAAATGTTTTTAATTCGAATTCGAATCGAATCGGATGAAATCGAATCGAATAATTAAAAAATTTAACATGACTATTAAACATGCAAATAATGAGAGATTTTAATATGAAAGAGAATATTGATATTGTAATATCATCTTAAAATAAAATATATATTTAAATATTTAAAGTAAATTATAATTAAGTTATTAATTAAAGTTAAGTTAAATCACAAGTTAAGGGTTCAAACATACAGGCTCAGATGGCCCGTTTTGTAACTTGATGCGCGCAAACGAAAATGCATTTGATTCGTATTCGAATCTTCGCGATTCGAAATTTTCAAATTATTTAGATTCGAATCATAGGGATTCGGATTCGAATCGAATCGAATGTAATTCGATTCGAATTCGAATAGTTCGCACATCTCCAGTGAAAAGTTGTTACTTTTTCCTTCAAAAATTGTATATGATTTAAAACTGTCGTGTGGCATTATTGCTACAAATTTTTACTAAATATTTATACCTGATGTATACTAAAAAAAAAAACAAAAATATATATATATATGGGTAAAAATTCACTCGTCCTGGAAGTAACACAACATTCTAGTATTTAAGGAGTTAAGAGGCGCGTTCGCCTCATTATTCGCCTCGAGGGAGGCAAAAGCGAGAAACCGGCAGAACTGACGCGTCAACTTACGTTGGACAGTACGGAACCCGTGATTGGAAGCGCTCGGATGCTGAAACACGCGCGCAAACACTGCGCTGCGCAGCGCAGCGCAGCGCGACAGAGTCGACTTCAACGTCGCCGAGGCGGCTTGAGCGAATTACCGGGCGCGTCACACACTGCGAAGGTCTCCCCGCGAGAGCGGTTCGATCAAATGATAAATCGTCCGTCTCCTCGTCCTGCGCTCTCAAGGCTCACGAGGAGACAGATCTCCTCGCCGGCGGGATTCGCCCGCTCGACGCGAGATCATCGATTTCGCGAAGCGCGGTCGCACGCGCGCTTCTCGTCCCGAGGCGCACCGCCGGGAGAGTCCTCCTCCGAGAGACCTCAGCTTCCGGCCTAGCTCGGACGTGGACCTTGCGCGGTGTATAATTGCACTCGCACGTGGGCGGCCGGAAGTCTCCTCGCTGATAAGGACACCACGGGGGAGGGAGTCTCTCACGGCACTCGCACGACGCGGTCGGACATGCGCGACTCTCCGTCACGGGCAGCGTATATGTCGCAGCCAATATATCGCGACTCTAAGATTACAACATGGACGCACCGTTGTTACTTCATCGAAGTAGCGCGCGTGCTGATCGAGTAACGAATCACCGTGCGATTATCTCGTTACCAGAGACGGCGGCCTTCCGGGTGACAGGCAAAACGCGCGCGCACGTGCGCCGCGTGTTGGCGCTCGCGCTCGATCCCGATTGTGGAGCGAGTTTTCCGCTCGACAGACTCGTCAGATCGTGCGACGGCGCCGGGAAGAATCTGAAACACGACGCCGACGACGAAGTCACGAATCTCGGCGACCGCGAAGTCTCTCATCAGCGCCGACCGGAGGAGCTCTGTCCATGCGCGCACCCGCCTAGAAGAAGACTGAGTGCCGGCCAGCCGAATCCCTAACCACCGGAGAAACCGTCGTGCTCCGGCACGGTGGACGCGTGCGAGTCCCGTTAAACGAATAATCGAAGACATTGGACCCATCGTGACGAGCAGAGCTAACCGCTACACGTTGCGCGATGAGAGCTGCTATGAGGTGCACCGAAAGCACCAGGAGAGAGGTGGGAGAGAGAGGCCGATACTTTTCCGCTTTGTGTCCTCTCGCGGCTCCCTGCCCCTCAGCGACCGAAACCTCCCCCTACTCCTTGCCTCGCCTCCTCCCTCCCCGTGCTTGCGCCTCCCCCCTGCCGCTCCAACGATGCCTCTCCCTCCTTTAAGGAGAGAGGACCTACTTTTCGGGAGCACCCTCCCCGCGCTGCTCCTGTACTGAAAAAGTCGGCATCGGTTTGTTCGAGAACTAGCGATTAAAGAAAGAAAGAGAGAGAGAGAGAGAGAGAGAGAGAGAGAGAGAGAGAGAGAGAGAGAGAGAGAGTCTTAGAGAGAGAGAGAGAGAGAGAGAGAGAGAGAGAGAGAGAGAGAGAGAGAGACGTATTTTTTCGCGACTTGCAGACCCTCGCGCATTTGTTTCCCTTTGTCTCCGCAATCTTTAGCGCCGCAACGAGACTGAGCTCGCTCTCGTGACGAGCGAGTGGATGCGATCGGAGAATATTTGTCCGTCAAGACAGAGATGGAATTGACTCTGGGAGAAATGGGTCATTAATTCTTGGGTTATTAACCATGCGTGACATTTCACCCTATGAGAATTTTTCATTTTATTAAAAAAAAAAAAAAAATAAAATAAAAAAAAATCACACTGACCACACTGACAATTTTATAGACGTTTATCAGTGGTGGCAGCATTGTGATAAAACAGATCAATTTTCGCATATATTTTGCTGTAAACAATAAAACAAGAAGAGTTAAGACTTTGGAGTTTTGATGTTTGACGGTAGCTTTCAAGGGTGAAGTCTGAGAGCTTAATTCAGCCTAGAAAAGCAATCGCGGCGGGAGAGATGTGACACTCGAGTTTCGTGAGGAGTAACGAGCAATTTGCGAGGTTAGAAATATACAGGAGCGTGCAATGTTTCATCGACTGAGAAAGAGAGAGAGAGAGAGAGAGAGAGAGATTGATAGGTCTTTTTTTCTCTTCGGGAATCCCGATTTTAGATTCAGCTTTCGATACAGGCTCGCGCACCTAGTCGTTTTCTCGCGTCGAAAAATGCAGTAACTCGAATCACGCGGAAAGAAACCAAATCTTGGCTGCTTTTGCGTCGTTCTTTTTTTCTTCTTGCTCTTCATCCCCCCCCTGCCCCCGCCAACAGAACCAGGTACCGTTATTTGTCTGACCGATTTACTTTTTCGTGGGTCCGACCGTTCATTCTGCTCCCCGCGAGTCCCTCCACCACATCCTTCACCTTCTCCTCCTCCTCCTCTTCCTACACCCCTCTTCTCTTGTGTCGCGTTCCCATTTGGTTCCTCAATAAAATCTGGGTAACGGGGACAGCCGATGCCGAAACGGGCTCGTAAAAGAGACGAGATAAAAGAGACGCGCCTTTATGTCACTAGCGCTAAGAAGAAAAACGCGCGATATTACGGGCGCATCTCGCGACAGTAATTTTCTACCTCAACACGCGCAACAGCTGTGTAGCCGTAGTAATAACGGACGATCATTAATAACGACGGCAAAGATGCGGCCGATGAGTGAATACAGGCCGCGCGGCACGCGAGAGAGGCCATCTTACGATTACGTAAAAAGACGAGAGAATTACATAAAGGAACAATTCGCCGAAACGCGCCGACTCGGCGATTCGTCGACTCGAGTTTTCTCGACGCCAGTCGCGACAAAAGTGTGTGTATGTGTGTGTGCGTGTGAAACGAAAAATAAAAGAAAGAGAGGACAAGAAATTAAAAATGCTACGAGCGATTTCGCGCGCGAGCGCGGCAACGATGAAACGGCGGCTTCTATCGGAAGGCAACTTTGCGGATATTCAGACCCGATTAACAAATCACTCCTACCAGCGCGTCACGGTGCGAACGCAATTATTTCCGACGTTTGTCTCGCATGGAAAAAGGGTTACGCAGCTGACTTCTCCCCTTGCCCCTCGTAACTATACGCAGTTGCCCAACTTTTTGTTCCTGAGTCAGTCAAGAAGCTCCGCTTCGCTCCCGTTATTTTACTTATCCGTTGCTGCACAATTGTAACGAAAATCACGTTCTTTTCTTTTACAATATTTTTCTGCTCGGTACACTGGGAAAAGAAAAAAATTTAGCATCTCTAACAAAACTGTTTGGATGAGGCATTTTTTAATAGCAACCAAATATCTTGTTTTATATAACAAAATATTTCGTTGTCTCAACAAAATATATCTTTCTGCTTTGTTCTCCGGACCAAATGATTTTGTTCTTAGACTTGTTCATACATAAAAATTAAGCATTTCTAGTTATTTTATCCATAAAAATTACGTAATAACGAA